TTGAACATGTATATAAAGTTATTTGAATTAATAAGCAATACACAATTCACAATAACAATTCACAATTCACTTAATTAAGACATTACTAACGTACGTTATTTGAACTAATTTCACTAAACATAAACATCATTACGTTTTAAACCACATTTAGCTAACTAATTTTAATTAAATTATTTTAATTTATAAACCTAAAAGTTTAACTAATTCTAATTTATGACATTACTACGCTTATAGTTAAAACATGTTGTTAATTAATTAACAACCTCACTAATTTAATAGTTTTAATAATTTAAATTGAACCAACTAATTCTAATTAATTAAATTTTGATTATAGTCACGGGTATAGTCACGGATGTGGCCGTGACTAAGTCGTCGGAATCAAATAGATTTCGCCGGAAACGGAAACGGGCCTATCGGAGGACTTAAGTCACGGGCCAAGACCGTGACTAATTGTAGTCACGGTCATAGTCACGGTCTGGACCGTGACTATTTTTTTTTTAAATTTCCGTGACTAGTCCGTGACTAGACCGTGACTAAACTAGTCACGGACCAAATCCGTGACTAAAATCCGTGACTATAACGCTGTTTTTTTGTAGTGAGTTTGAGTTCGGTTTAATTCACTTTGGTACAGTTCGGCTCGATTAAACCGAACCACTTTGTCCACCCCTAGTCGATGCTTCCATGGATGGCGTACGCATAAAACAGACGACAATCATCGAAGATGAAGCCATATGCGTCGAAATAAAAGGTACGTTTTTAGATGCTTTTTAGTCTCAGAGACCATGTGAGAAAAAATTATCAGACTTAAGCAGTCTGATAGCTAGCCCTGAATGATGTATTTATAGTAATTAAAGAAATATAATTACATAGAAGTTCCTATAATTAGAGAAAAATATAAATTACATTATTACTGACCACTAGAAAAAAAACAGCCATAATCCCCAATTTGACTAGCTAGTGAGAAGAAATTGTCAATATCATTAGTTTGACCAGTCAAAAAAAGAAGATCCAATCTAGCACTATCTTTCTCTCATAGCATGACGGTGGTTCAAGAAGGGCCAAATAACTAAGTCCCAAGTGTCGCCAATTCCCGAAATTAATCTCCCAAAAATCAAGCAAAACAAGCATTGACAATCACCAACAATAAAATTTAACATCAGACGAGTTCCACCGACGAAGAATACGTCAAGTTTAGACATCGCTAGGAGGAACCATATTTTATTCTTATTTGAGTCATTTTCTACTATTGAATGGAAGTAAACACGTTTTAGAATTTCAAAATATGATATTAGGTTTTTATTTTTGAAATAGGAGAAACATTACAAGATTTACAGTCCTCTTAGAGTACTTGTTACTGCCAAAATAGTTGCAGTATTTACTCCCATTAATGGTTTACTCCTATTGTTACTAATAACTTGCTACTACTCTTGATGAAATATACGTGTGTGCATGGATATGACCATTGAAGACCGATCCCACGGTTGTGCTGGCGTGTAAAGTTGTGATTGAGTGGCTGCCTCCTTTGACTGGCTGGATCGTATATACGGATGGGTTCAATTCCTTACTTTGACTGTGAATGTTTTAAGAAGTCGATTTCATGCCAATTCAACGAGAATCAACGACTCCTACAATGCGTTCATACGTACGTTGCTTCGTCGATGGCATGAATCACTAGTGTAAAAACATCAATTTGCGGCATTGGATAAGTGGCGGTTTTGAAATAACCGCCACAAATATAGTAAAAAATAATAACAAATATACGCGCGGCGGTTTTTAACTAATAACCGCCGCATTTATTTTAATTTATGTTAATTTTTTACAATTTTTGCGGCGGTTGTAACCGTAAGAACCGACGCACATTCACTGAAATTTAATTGAAACAAACGCGTGACGGTTGTGAAAATAAAAACCGCCGAATATTCAATTATTCAGGAAAAAAGAATACGCGCGTCGGTTGTAATAAAGAACCGCCACAAACGTTTTACCCAGTACTATTTTTAAAGCACTTCAGCTCGGAGTATATATCCATCGTCATGCCCCAATGAAACAAACCCAGAAACCCTAAACTTTACTCATCGGTAAACCAGAGTCCAGAGAATCGAACAATAGCGACTATGAGTGAGGCGAATAGCAGGCGGCAGCTGCGGACGGAGGTTGGCACCAGCTGCAGACGGCGTTTGGCGGCAGCTTCGGACGGAGGTTGGCGCCAGCTGCAGACGGCGTTTGGCGGCAGCTTCGGACGGCGTTTGGCGGCAGCTGCGGACGGCGGATGGCGAAAGTTTCGACGGTGGCAAGTTACCCAAGCTGTGTTTGACAGCTAGCTTCCCCCCATCGACGAAGAGGATGAGCTCTTCATCGTCGTCCACATCGTGAAGAGTGATGATGCTGTGGTGTTGTAAGTTACACAAACAGCTTGGGAGATGTTGTCTCATAACAGATCTGCAATGCTTTAAAACCAGATCTACGATACATATATATACTCCATATTACTACGTATTTCTTAAGACTTTCTTTTATCTTCTAAAGGATATATCGATGTCACCGATTGATGATGTAGGGAGCTGAGGATTATTTATTAATGTGGTTGTACTTATTTGTTGATGTAATAACGGAGGTTTAGTTGTAAAGTTTATTGTGATGAGGTTTAGTTACTATAGATTTACTACGTATATGTTAAACTTACCTTGAACAAAATAACTTCGTAGTATTTGTATGGATTCAAGCTTACATTTTTTGTTTATGGTGATGTATCGGTTTATACATGTACTACGTATTAATCAAGGACATTAAAATAAATAAAAAAATATTTAAAAAATTTCTGAAGATATGCGGCGGTTCTTATGCTAAAAACAGCCTCGCTTTAAGAAACAAATGGTTATTTTTTGTGTATTAGCGGCGGTTTTCTCCCTAATAACTGCCGCGTATATGTTATCACCTCAAGGAATATGCGGCGGTTTTTACCTTAAAAACCGCCGCGAATTAATTTATTTTATAATTATTTTAATAATAAAAATATGCGGCGGTTTATATAAATAAAAACCGCCGCACGTTTATTTTTTGCGGCATATCCATTTGTGGCGGTTAGAACCGCCGCGAATGCCTCTTTAAAACCGCCGCATATTTGAGTTTTTCCACTAGTGAATTTTCAGTCCACTAAATACACACACTCCACAAGTTTCAGTCACTAGCAATCACTACCTCCATAGCTAGCTTCCTTTCTTTGTATATAGCTCTAATTTAAAATACTGGTCAAACATAATCAAATAGACAAAATAAACCCAACTACTTATTGAGTAAAGGTCCAACTAAATAAAACCGTCTATGGGAAAATTCGAGAAATTAATAAGAATAAAAATATTTTGAAATGTTAAAGTAGGACTGTCATGCGTGCTTTTATTTCCTAAATAAGTGTAATTCTAATTAAGCTTTTTTACTGTACTTTCTCTTTTATTCATAGTATTTGTTCTGTTAAATGTCAACATCCTTCCATCCTTGATTGGGATGAATTTCGAACCTGTGACCTCCTCTTTAGGAGTGTCACAATGATGCTATCGAGCCACAAGATGTTTGGCTGTAATTACTACTAAGTTTGGAAAATACTATCATATTTAAGGTTTGATAAATTAAAAAATGACAGTAATTACTAATGTTTACAAAATAAAAATATGACAATCATATTTGAGAATTCACAAACATTTTTACTTCTATTTATTAGAGCAATTTCTTTTCTATTAATTAATTAATTTAAACCGCGCCATCAACTAAGAAGTCATATATGAGAGTAATTGATATGGTAAGAAGTTAAGCCATACGTAGTGAATTTTAAGAATTTAGAAATAGAAATGTAGAAATATTATCAAAATAATATTTAGAGACCTCAAAATAAAATAATCAAAATATTAAATTAAAATGAACAAAACAGTAAATAAAATCTTGAATATATATACACATAATTCCAACAAACACAAAATAAAATAGCGTAATAGTTAATGCACTTATAAATATGATAAGTCGATCATATTAGTAAGTTGTAGTGTGTAAAATAGAAATGAAAACTTTAGATTAGAATTATAGCCTCTAATGAGGTGACAACTTTGGTACCCAATTCAAAAATGGGGTACTGTACCTATCATTCGATTGATAGATCCAAGACATTATATATATCACTTTTAATTTTCAATTATATATATAATTCAACTACATTACATACAATATTTTAATTGATTCATGTGGATAAATGTATAGTACCTTATGAAGACTATATAATCTGTTCTCCAATGAACCTAGAACATATTCAATTTGTTTGGTGAAGTAATGGTCACAAGAGTTTGATTTATAGGAGCTCGAAGATCTTTCTATATCTTTATTAAATAAGACTACTAAAACATGAAAAATCTTTCAATAATATATTTACTATTCAAGTTTTCACATAAGAATGTAACTCCAGTACATAATTAATTCTCTATTCTAATCTTTTCTACCGATAAATGCATCACTACTTAGTACTCTCCTTGATGCATTCATCCATAACTCCTGCCATTCTACATAATCTACTAATATCTAAAAGCAAAATGTTTTAATTTTCTCTCATTGTTATGCCGCTCAGAAACATCACTATCAACATCCTAAGGCTTTATACGTATGAATATATTGAGAAAGGAAAATCATACAATATTTGTAAATATCAAATATGGAGTAATACGGAGTAATATCTACAAGATCTCACCAAGTTGCCTATATCGTTTTGATGTGACATAATCCACGAAGTTGCCTAATATTTCAATTACCCTTACATGTGAGTTTCTATTTTGTTGGACTCGGTTCGTTGCACTTCATCTTTTTGAGCTTATCCACACTTTAGATGATACATCTGTATTCCATTAGACCAAGGATGTGACAACACAATTCAAAATTAAATTGTGATTCAAAAATGAACTCCCGCCCATCAGATCACACACTTTGGTTGCTATAAGAAGGGCCTCAGGTTAGTTCTTCAAATACACAAATACAAACATGGTGGGTGTGTACATGGTGGTCTTTGATCCGTGAAATGGACAAATCCAAAATCGACTAGACTATGATCGAGGGCAAGAGCTATTTTCGCATCCCAGCTCACGACAACATCTTTGAGACTCTTAATGTTGTGTTCCATGATGATTGGTCTAATGGAATACAGATGTATCATCTAAAGCTCATGAGGAGGTTGGTTGTTCTAATTTTGATGTGTATCATTTGTGAAAACCGAGTTTATGTGTTTGTAGTTTTTGATTCGTGAAAGACGTTTTATCTGATTGATTTATTGGGAACAAAGATTCATGCTCAGATACCTGAGCAGTTCATTCCCAAGTTCCAGTGGATCTTTAGAGAGGGAAAAGTTTATGCTGTGAGACATTTCATGGTTGAGGAAAACTATCTATTTTTCTAATCCAACATCCAATCCCTACAAACTGTCTTGCTACAAAAAGACTGAGGCCTTCGAACTATAAATTGAATTTCCATTGAGAACTTTTACACTCTCCATTTCAGACTTTGCTATCACAAGACATCATAGACAAGAAAGTGGGGATATGTAATATGAATTTCAGATATGTTTTTGATATTTTGAATATCTATGGATTTGCCGTAATCTATCCTAATCCCAGATGTCACTGGGAGAGTTATTTTCGATAAAAGTCAAATGACAATACTGAAAATGATCGACCAGTCATGCTCCTGGTCATTAAGCTTTGTGATAACGAGTGAGTATTTGTTCATTTTGAAAAATGGATTAACAAAAAACATTTGCTTAATATGATTACGGGTCAACTATTTGCGCAGTGGCAATGTGATTACAAGCACACTTTGGGGTATTTTGGTGGACAATTTACTCACCTATAGGAAAACATCATCTGGACCTATAATTATGATACTACAGTGTTGCAAGGACAAAAATACAAAGGTGATATAAACTGCTAAGCACTTAACACATTCGATTTTTTTTTCTCAACTAACTATTGTGGGTTCATTTTTTCATTTATTATGTGGAGTTTATGTGTCATCCATGTACGACTTTACAAAGATGATACTAAATGGAAATGAAACAGAATTTGACCAGTTTAATGCTAGAATGATGAATGTTGTTTGTGGTCAAGGGACTTAGGGCAGTAGCTCTTTCAGACCATTGGACTCAACTTTCCAAGGTGATATCGACAATGACACCATGCCATTGGTCACCATTGCCAGTCTCACCAGGATGGAAGAGGTATGACAGACACATAAGTTTAGTATTCTGTATTTCATTTATCATTTATATGCAAATGTCTAAATTCTTTTGTTCTCTCAGGACAAAAGGCATTGGGTCTTGGCTCATATTGGATCGATTGATAGTCACAGAGAATGGTGCTACATCTCATGCATAAGGTGAAGCAAGATAGCCTCACAACCTCACAAGATAGTGATACATTCCAGTGTATGTCATGTTGTTCTAAGGGTGTTGTTTTGAGATATAAGGGTAATGTTAGGGTTGTTGATGACACCACACATGCTTCATTCTTACTATGGGATAAAGACGTTTCAAACCTGATTGGGAAGACTACTGCTACTTTAAAGGAACAAATGACTAGGGTTATAAATTTTATATTTTATTGCATATTCTTTTTCTTTTTTTTAAACAGGTCAGTTCACTAAATATTTTTCTTTGGAAGAAGCTATTTGGACCTAACTGTTTCCCTACTGAGATTAATGGTCTAATCAATACAAACACATTGTTTCATGTGCAATTTAAGAAGGATAATAGAAACTATAAGGGCAGACCTACTTTCAGTGTGATTGGTATGTATACTGATCCTACGGTGCTATCACTCTGTAACAAAAAAAAAGCAGCGTTGAGGTCAAAGCAACTAATTATATATATGCTTGCTTATTTAGGCTTAGGGTCTGCTAATAACATTATGTTCTCTGTATTGAGGAGGATGAGTTCGCCATGATACGTAAAAAGGCTGGACTCTCTGAGAAGGTTCGTCCTTAGTTTCTCGATAATGAACTTATTTATGGATGCCTATGGTAGTAATTGATGTTTTACAATGTTGCAGGCTTCCTCTGAAGAGGTTACATACACAAGCCCATCATCTCTCACAAAGGAGAAGAGGTTGAACCTTCAAATTGATGGGGAGGAATGTCTCAAGGTCCTTGCTCACAGAGTTCTCCTTAAGTGCAAGGTCAAAGAAACTTAAGAGAGTGAAGATTGAGGAGGAGTAATAGGATGCTAATATGTTACTACTTCTATCTACTAGGTGTTGTGTTTGTAAACCCATAAGTTGGGTACTTTTGGAAAGAGTTGATTCGGGTAGCTTTGTAGATGACAACAACAAACATGCCTAACATGTACTAGTATTACGTGGCTCGGCCGGAGTGCTCCGCGGAGGAAGGCCAGGAGGGTGCGTTCATCGGCTCCCTCACATTCGTCCGCCTCCCTCGTCCAGCGATCGAGGAAGGCTCGGAGCGTCTCCTCCGGCTGTTGTTTGATGGTCAGGAGATGAGCAAAATGCTTCTTCGCGCGCTTCCTCCCGGCAAAGTGGGTGAGGAAGCGTTGAGCAAGATCCTGCCATGAGTCGATGCTCCCCTCCGGAAGGTTGTTGAACCAATCGTACGCTGGTCCCTCCAAGGTGGATAGGAACCAGCGACACATGTACTCCTCCGAAGCGTTGGTCATCATCATATTGTTCTGATAACGGGTGAAGTGCTCCTGGGGATCAGTGCGGCCGTCGTATGGCTTGATCGGGTTCCCCGTATACTTCTCCGGGATGGGAGCGGAGAGCACCCTCGCAGAGAAGGGGGTTCTGGTCCGTATCTGGATGACGGGCTCATCGCGCCGGTCAGCCAACTCCCTTTCCAGAGCACTGACCTTGCTCAGGAGCGCGTCGTAGTTGGGATGCTGGGATGTGTGGACCATTGCGCGCCCTGCGGCCTCTCGGGCCTCCATGTCAGCGAGGCGCTTCTCCAAGCGGGCAATGATCTCATCCCTTGGGTCCGTGTTGGCCGCGGCGCCGCCCAGAGGGGTCTGGATCCGGGCCGCGTGGGCCAGGTTGATTTGGTGGCGCGCATCGTCACCAACCAGCTTTCCTTTTCCTTTATCTGGTCGGGGCCGGTCCGTTGTCCGGGACACGGACCCGAAGCTTTCCTTTGGTGATCCCGGCTCGTGGCCACCCAACCGATCCGCCACCCTACCCGTAGGTACCCAACGACTCGCGATGTCACCCAGCCTGTTGAATGCTGAGATTTTACCGCGAGGTTGGGCCGGTGTATCCCGGGTAGGCGAGGCAGTATGGGAATGGGTGTCCACGGCGAGGACGTCTTCGTTGTTGCCGAAGAAGGTGACGCCCTGTGGACGAGGTGGCGGTGGTGGCACCGTTGCGACCTCCCCAGTCACAGGAGTGTTGTTTTCCCCGGTCTTTGCAACAAGAGCGCTGACCACGTTGGGGTCCTGGAGGATGCTCGCAACAATGGCCGATAGTGCGGCCGGGTTTATCTGGGGAGCAGCAGGGTTAGAGGCCTGCTGGCCCGAAGCGCGATAAGCATTGCGCCTGTCCTCGAGCCCGATGCGGGCGTCTGGGGCAGTCTTGTTGAGCTGGGTGCGAAGGTCGGCCGCTGCGAGCTCGACCTCCTGAGCATTCTCATCCTGAATGATGAGATCATTGGGGACGTTGTCAGCAACGTTTCCCTGCCCTTCCTGGTTCAGTGGGGCATTCCTACCAGTGTTCTTTGACCTAGTTCTTGTCATAGCTAGCGGTAGTGTCTGGTAGCGACGAAGGGTACTCACTTGATCTGTTCTGAGCTCTCAACGAGAGCACCAAATGATAGAGTATTAATTCTAGAGAGAAGTGAGAGCTAGAGAGAGAAAGTGAGTAATTATATTTCTCAACTTGGAACCCCCTATAATTAGCCCCTTGGGGTCTATTTATAGGAAAAAATGTAGATTTGGGCTCCTAGCCATGGGCTTAGGAGGCCCATTACAATAATCATGCCTTCTTTGGGCGAAATAAGGCCACTAATGGGCTGTGTACAATACTTAGTAAATAAAGTAGAAAAATACATTCTGCCTAGACAAAGTCTGGACGATGCGGTCCATGGACGATGCGGTCCATGGACGATGCGGTCCATGGACGATGCGGTCCATGGACGATGCGGATCCTGGGTCTTGCCCAAGGATCTAGGCGACATTTTCTTTCTTGGATGTTGCGTGCCTCTGGCCGATGCGGGTGTCTTTTGGGCCGTTGAGTGTGTGGGCCATGGGGTCCAGGCCCATATACTCTATCAGTTAAGCTCAAGGGTCTCAAACACAGAGAAAGCAAACATAGAAGTATCACACATATGGAAAACATAATCAGGCATACTATCAGCAGTTCTCCTAATTACTCTCCTACTTCTATCTCTAGCAAGTTGATAATCATGCAAATCATTCTCACTAGCATCCGCACTCTCATCATGCGATTCATTGTCATTTGAATGCACATGAGAATGCTCCACCTCACTCGAAGTGGTGGTAGTATCATGCTCAGAAGACTCGGAATCATGCAATTCAAAAGAATTAGAATCATGCAAAACAACATTATCATGATTAGCAAACAAAGGGCTAGCAGCACGTGGTAAGGACTCCACCTCAACGGGTGTACTACTAGGATCAGACTCAGAATCAGGAACTGACTTAACCAGACAAGGAAACTCGGATTCATTGAAAACAACGTTTCTACTCACCACAACTTTGAAACCTACCTGGTTCCTATCCCAAACCCTATACCCCTTCACACCCTCAGGATAACCTAGGAAGACTCCTTTCTTAGACCTAGGATCCAACTTGTCACCTTGTTGGTGCACATACGCTGCACACCCAAACACTCTAAGATTAGACAAATCAAGGGGTTTGTTTGAAAAAACAGATTCAGGGCACTTCCCACCCAAGGGAACATAAGGAGACCGGTTAATCAAGTAGACAGCAGTGTTAACTGCTTCACCCCAAAACTTTTTAGACAAACCGGCGGTGGCAAGCTTACTCCTAACCTTATCTAGAACAGTCCTATTCATCCTCTCGGCTATCCCATTTTGTTGGGGAGTATAAGGCACAGTTTTATGCCTTCTAATCCCATAATCAACACACAGTTGGTCCATATCCTTATTGCAAAACTCTAGGCCATTATCTGTCCTAAGGGTTTTGACCTTCTTACCAGTTTGATTTTCTACAAGGTTTTTCCACTCCCTAAACTTCACAAAGACATCAGACTTATGCTCAAGGAGACGGACCCACACCTTCCTAGAAAAATCATCAATGATGGACAGAAAATATCTCTTACCCCCGTGGGTAGAGACACTAGCAGGACCCCACACATCAGCATGAACATACTCTAACACAGAGGTACATTTAGTAGGATTAGGATATGGGGAGGAGGGGAATGTAACCTTATGCTGCTTGCCTAACACACAAGATTCACAGAAGGGGATGGGGGACACAGAATCCTTACCAAAACAACCAGATTTATGCAAAATCTCTAAACCCCTATTACTCATGTGTCCTAATCTATTATGCCACAAAGCAGATTTATCAGAACTAACAACATGAGCAGAATCACAGAAAGGCTGAGCATGGCACACATACAAGTTATTCACCTTTTTTGCCTTAAACAAAACAAGGGAATTTTTCAAAACTTTCATGCACCCATTACCCCATTTACCCTCTAACCCACTACCCTCAAAAGCAGCAACAGAAAACAAGTTATGACGCAAATCAGGAACATGCCTCACATTTTTCATAGTAAACACAGTCCCATTATCAAACTTCAAGCATACATCACCCACCCCATGTATTTTGCATTTCTTATTATCAGCAAGAGACACAAAACCATCATTGCAAGGATTATAAGAAGAAAACAGGGATCTAAAAGGTGTCATATAATAAGTACAACCAGAGTCAATATACCACTCATTTTCAGTCATGCTACTCAACACAGAATTGGCAGAATCACAAATCATAAAAACTTCTTCATGCAAGTTATTATCATCTATCACATTAGCATGTTCAGACTTCTTAGGATGGGGACAATCCTTAATGAAGTGACTAGAATTACCACAATTATAGCACACTCTCTTCTTAGACTTACCTCTCTTCTTCCCCGGGTCATTGTTTTTGTTCTTATCGTTGTTGCCCTTCTTATGGTTTCTAGATCTACTCTTAGACCTACCCCTCACAAGCAACGCTTCACCAGAGTCCCTAGACTGACTGTTACTACCCCTCGAGTGTCTAAGGTCTAACTCCTTACTCCTTAATCCATTAACGACTATATCTAACGAGATATCGTCTCTACCATACTTTATGGCAGATTTGACGTCATTGTATGAGTCAGGGATGGCATTAAGTAACACTATGGGCGTGTAGTCATCTATGTGTTTATCACCCGCTTGCTTAATATTCTGAATAAGCTTGTTAAACACATCTAGGTTCTCATCTATGTCCTTAGACAGGTCAAGCCTAAATCTAAAGAACTTCTCAAGCAAAAACAATTTACCAGGCAAAGAAGTATCGGTATACAACTTATCTAACTTGTCCCACAAATCCTTCGCGGAATCTATAATACCTACCTTTCTGAGCACTGAATCAGAAAGGTTCAAGTATATAGAGGAACAAGCAGTTTCATTCATCTCAACGTGCTTTGCAGCATCCTCAGAGTCTAAATAGAGACCAGTCACAGCTCTATAGACTTTCTGTTGGATCAACACACATTTGATTTTCTGTTTCCAGATATCAAAATCTGTCTTTCCGTTAAATGGAAGCATGTCATATTGATTGACAGCCATATTAACCGGAAAGCAAGCACAACACGCAAGAGAATAAATAAAATTTATCAGGCTATCAACCGGTACGAAGCAACTAGCACGAACAAGCCGAGAAGACCAATGAACACAAAGCTCGGGTACAATCTCCTTGTTCTTTCGTACCGTACGAAGCAACTAGCACGAACAAGCCGAGAAGACCATTGAACACAAGGCGCGGGTACAATCTCCTTGTTCTTTCGTACAAGCACAGATAAAATTTTTATTTACTCAACAGACAGATAAATGATTAATTATAACCTATAGGGCTATCAATTGTACGAAGCAACTAGCACGAACAAGCCGAGAAGACCAATGAACACAAAGCTCGGGGTACAATCTCCTTGTTCTTTCGTACAAGCACAAATAGGCTAGAATTAAATCAATAAGCAAAGAAACGGGATTTAGAACTAATCCGGATAGAAATATTCCCAACTTTGGACAACAAGTATCCAAACAAATATTCTTAACCGGAAAGTTTATCCACGAATCAATCAACAGAAAAAAATCAAAATAAAAAATCCAACACGTGATTAAATTTAAACCGGAAGAAATATTCACAACTTTGGACAACGAGTATCCAAACAAAATATTCTTCACCGGAAAATTAATTCACGATTCAACAAGTAATCACAATTCAACTAACAAGTAAAAAGCAATTCAACTTGAAATTAAAAAAATGAATGAACTACGAATAATAATCACACAAAGGATTAGTAAACGTACCTGGGGCCGGGCACAGCCGGCATCCTAGACCACGTAGGTCAGCAGCGGGGGAGCGGGGGAAAATTAAATCCGGTGGCACTCCGGTACACCAAGGATGTTTAAGCCAATTTACCTGAGCGGGGCCCGAGGTTGGGTTACCCGACTTACCGTAGGCAGCGTGGGCTGCTGTAGATTCGGCGGCAGCAGACTGAAGCGGCGGTAGCACCTCCCTGGACGGCGGCAGAACCTCTTTGGCAGGCGGCAGAACCTCTCTGGCAGGCGGCAGCAGCTTCTGGACCAGACTGGAAGCTTCTGGCAGAACTCTGAACTGGCACCAAGCAACTCCAGGCGACGGCAACAGCACTCCCTGGACCTCCGGCGACCTCTGGACGGCGGCGACGCGGCGGCAGGCGGCGGCAGGACCTCCGTGTCTCTGATACCACTGTTATGTGCACTTCCAGCTCAGGTCTCAACCAATTAACATCCACAAAGGATGAAATCAACCACTAGAATCACTAAGGGGAGAAGGGGCGTCAGCCAGCAACCTTAATTCCGGCCAACTGACTGGATTACACCACAAAGGAGCAGCGGCAGAATTTAGGGGAAGGTTAGGGTTCGGCCAGCCCTTCCATCGACAAAGAGAAGGAGATTAAATAGGAGAAGTAAAGGAATCAGATATGGCAACTTACCAAACCAAGAGATACGCATTGATCGATGGAAGAGGAGAAAGAATCGCAGCAGCTCCAGGGAAGGAAAGGAAGTGCGAACTGAAAGAAGGCAAGTTAGGAGCCGGGTCACCCAATTTCAAGGTCTTGGGCTTATGGGAAAAAAAGGGGGCCAATACCAACAATTTTCCTTTAAAATATTTTGGGATTAAAAAATACTACGCCATATAAAAGAGGGATTGCCTCCCACTTTAGCATTCAAAAAGGAGGAATTGGAAAAATATTTAGCTTTAAGCACACGGCTCATCAAGCTCTGCCGCTCTGTAATCAACCGCCATCCTAGTTTAGCAAGCATAGCTAAATTAAATTCCCGAATTTTATGAAACCCCAGCCCCCCTGCTTCCTGGGGCTTACACAAAGCATCCCATTTTTAGCCCCCTCCACCAAAAACCGTTCATCACTTTTTCGATATCATCACATAAGTCCTTCGGAAGCAAGAAAACATTCATAGCATAAGTTGGCATAACTTGAATCACATTCCTTAATAGCACCGTCCTTTCTGTCCGGGATAAAAACCTGTTGTTCCAACTTTTAATTCTGTTGAAAATTCGGTCCCTGAGATAACTAAGAATGACAGTCTTATTCCTCCCAACCAGAGCTGGAAATCCCAGATATAAATTATGCCCTCCCTCTCGGTCAATCCCAAAAAATTGACAGCAATAATCTCTAAAAGGTCACCATTCGGACTAAAGGACAAAGAAGACTTGCTGAAGTTCACCATCTGTCCCGAAGCCTGTTCATAATTATATAAAATATTTTTTATTGCAACACAACCTAACTCAGTTGCCTTAAAAAATAAGAAGCAATCATCTACAAATAACATATGAGAGACTCTAGGTGCACCTCGGCAAATCTCTATCCCATGCACGCTTCCAACCTGTTCAGCCCTCCTAAGCAGTGCACTCAAACCTTCTGCCACAAGAATAAATAAATAAGGTGACAGAGGGATCGGATATTCGTAGACAATTAGAATGTAACTCTAGTGCATAATTAATTCTCTATTCTAATCTTTTCTACCGATAAATGCATCACTACCACTATTCTCCTTGATGCATTAATCCATAACTCCTACCATTCTCCATAATAAAGAATAGCGAAAATATCATCGGTGGACTTTGTGTGAACAAAAATATCACTCTTTTTAATTTGGACAAAAAAGTAACCGTTTTTAAAATTAAAAAGCAATATGTTCTGCCGACTCCCAAACCCAGCAACGAACGGAGCCTTCATCTTCCCCCATCGCCTCTGCATCTTCGAACCATGCCGCGGCCGCCGCCTTTCGTTCGCCATCTTCCTCTCGCGCCACCGCTACAAGTTCTCTCTGCTGCACCGCCATCTTTGACCATCCTTCCTTCTATTTCTATCTAGATGCAGGGATGACGTGATTCCCAATGACTGAGCGGAAATGGGGCGATTTTGACTATAAAGGGGCTAAATCCGCGCTTCGAGGGTTGTATAAGGGGGCTTAATAAGATGGGCGAGCATCGAGGGCGGCGATCGACCGCTTCTGGTTCTGGATCCGCCAACCTCGGTGGATGACGGCTTAGGTTTGACGCAGCGGGTCCCGGATCTGCCGGATCCACCGTCCTCGAAGTAGGAGAGGGACCCGAAGGACCGATAGGGGGCGGCATAGGGGAGGGTGCAGGGGGCGGGCTGGGTAGCGATCCGATGCGTAGATCTGAGGGAGGGGAAGGGGCTAGGGACTGGAGTAGGCGGCTTGGCAGGGGCTGGGGATGGGATGGGGCAGGGGTGGTGGATGTGGTCGGGCAGAGTGTTGTTGTTGGGAAGAGTATCTGGCAGTTACACTGATGATGGTTGCTGCGGCCGGAGTATCTTCTGGTGGGCGGCGACTGTCACCGGTCGGAGGTAGTGGTAGATGTCAATGTATTCGTGTCACTATAATCAGAATTTGGGGCGGGTATTTCACTGCGGAGATGTCACTGTGGCCGCCCGCGGTGACGGCGGCGATCCGGGCGCGGCAGCGACAGTGACTCGGCGGTTGTGACATGGCGACGGTATCGGCCGGAGTAACTTTTGTCGGGTGGCGTCACTGAAAAATCAGTGTCACTAGGCAGTGACAGCGTCACTATTGTGTCACTATGGCCGGTGACGGTCTCCGGCGGCGGCGACGGTCACCAGTGGGTGGTGGTGGCAAAGAGGGTGGATGTCAGTGTGTCTCGTGTCACTATAGTAGTGTGTATATAAGCAAGCTTGTCACTTATTTGTCACATTTCAGGAATTTTTAAGAAAAGTCACTTTCTTTGCCTATTACCTTTTTATTAGGGTTAAAGGGTCAAATAGGTACATGAACTAACTTAAAGTGTTCAATTAGCCTCTTATATAGGAGGTTCTGCGCGGCCATCGACAATTACGGCGGTTCCCGGTTGAATTTTTTGATGATTTTTTTGAGAATCTTCTTCATTAAGTCTAGTTTACCCATATCAAATTTTAGCTAAAAATAAAATCGGGAAGGCAATCAAATGATTTTCCAAAATGTACTGCGTTGTTTAACTGCGCAGTTATCTTCAAAAACTCATTTGACTGCCTTCCCGGTTGAATTTTTAGCTGAAATTTGGTATGGGTAAACTAGACTTAATGAAGAAGATGCTCAACAAATTTCATCAAAAAATTCCACCGGGAACCACCCCAATTGGCGACAGCCGGGTAGAACCTCCTATATTAGGGGCTAATTGAACACTTTAAGTTAGTTCATGTACCTATTTGACCCTTTAGCCTTTTATTAGTAATATTCTAGACAAAACCCCTTATAAAGGGAAAACTGTCAAATAGGTCCTCGAACTTTCATAAAAAAGTCAATTAAGTCCTTCTATAGGAGACTCTGTCCGGTCGTCGCGATTTGGGATGGTTGTCGGTGGAATTTTCTGATGAAATTTTTTGAGCATCTTATTCATTAAGTCTAGTTTACTCATACCAAATTTCAGCTAAAAATTTAATCGGGAGCACATTCAAATTAATTCGAGAACGCAAAAATGCGCAGTTATTTTCAAGAATTAATTTGAATGTGTTCCCGATTGAATTTTTAGTTGAAATTTGGTTTGAGTAAAACTAGACTTGGTGAATAAGATGTTCAAAAAATTTCATCAAAAAATTTCACCAGGAACTGCCCCAAATCGCGACAGCCGGACAGTACCTCCTATAAAAGGACTTAATTGACCTTTTTTATGAAAGTTCGAGGACCTATTTGACATTTTTGCCCCTTATAAAACATTAAAAACTAAAATATGTCTCTTGGTAATAAATGCATCGCGCTATTTAGAATACTCTTTTTCATTTAATTGTTGAGGTAATAAAATACTTCCGTACATCAATACCACTTGGTAAAAAAAATGGGGTACTTTTTTTTTTTTTATCAATACCACTTGGTGGTATTTAATTTAGGTGACAATTTCAGTACCTTTTTAAAACATGGGGTACCGTACCTATCATTCATTTGATTAGACCACATCATTTTATCATTTTTAATTTAGATTTAAATAATTCAAGTGCTACATTCTCATTGGTCCATGTGGACAAATGTATAATACTTTATGGGTACCATAGAATCTACCTTCATGGTACTCCCACTTGAGATAAATGTTGCTTGTATCTCCATGAATCTTTGAAGAATTCATAAGATCATGCAATATAAAAAACAGACTTTGTGATTAATCTGGTGCTAAAGTTACATGCAACAAATTGCATTGCTAATAACCAAATAATATTCTCACCAATAATCCAATTCAAGCAACCTACATATCGATCGATGACTATATAATTCAATTCGTATATGTATATATATGTACACCAACTAAGAACAAAAAGTTCTCCGGGCCGGGCGGCGGTTCAACTGAGTTCCGGAATGCTTTGCAAACGCGGCCTCCATGACTGCTGCCTCGCCACCTTATCTCCGCCGTGCTGATCGGAATCCGCCAACAATCTAGCCAAGAGTATTTGATCTTCTTGATTAGAAGTATTACTATTCTCCACTTTCCTCGCCAGCAGAAGCAGCTGCTCGAGCTGCTTCTTTGAGATTGTGATCTTCAACGTCGTGGGCGGTGCGGTGGCGCTACTGTTTTTATCACCACCGTCACCGCCTACCACTAACCCGCCGCCACTTTCACCGCCACTCTTCTGAATTTTCTTTTCTTGTGATACCCATTGCCACTCATCCCCCTCATCCTCGGCAGCCCACACCATGGATGAAGATCCCCCCTTATTCACACAATTTCCCATTTCCCCTTTTTAAAAAGGATCGGAATAATTAAGTAAGTATAGAGAAGTTAAGATAAGAGTTGGGTGATAATTAGTAGTCCGTATATGGATTTATATATATCTCTTCTGGCCGGCTGTTGGTGGGGGAAGGTTGTTGGGAAGTCATCATTAGGCAATTATTATTACTACTATACTTATGTAAGTATTACTCCATCTGTCCCTAACTTTGTCCCATTTTACGTTTTTGTCTGTCCCATTAAATTCGTCTCATATCATATTTGATAATATTTGGGTAGTTATAATTCATTATCATTTTATTTACACTTTATCAATTTAATACCTACCACACAATTCCACTTTTTCTTAAAAGTTGTGTCACACATCTTTGTACCAAACACGGGAGAAAGGAGGTAGTATTAATTGATTAAGTACGCAGGTGCATGGATATGACATTTGAAGACTGATCCAACGGTTGCGCTGATGTGTCGAGTTGCGATTGGGTGGCTGCCCCCTTTGACTGATATATGGCCTCCTTACTTTGACTTGGAATGTTTAAGATGTCGATTTCAAGCATGCATGCTAATTCAACGAACGGGAATCAATGACTCCTACAACACGTTCACACGTACGTTGCTTTTTCAATGGCATGGATTTCTAGTCCACTGGAATACACATGATGAACAGAACAAGCTACGGAGTACTACGTAAGTTTCAGTCACTAAGCTAGCTTAATTGTTTTTTTTTTTTTTGGAAAAAGCAAGCTTGATTGCTAGCCAGCTTCATTTCATTTATTTGTATAACTCAACTTTGTAATAGGATTAATGAGGTTTTTAATTGGACACTAATTTTGTGATCCAGTTTGGTCTAGTTTTAGTTGGTGGGACCTATGGTTTACACCGGTGAAGCTATGAGGGCAATCGATCTAGGTTCCCACGCACCACAATGGAAAATAACTTTGAATAATATCTTTCATGAACTAAGAACGATAACAACTTGAGAAATAACTTTTAATAATACCAACTATTTGATTATTGATATATAGCAAATTTTCACTAAAAATTCATTTATTCAATTCATCATAAACTAATATCAAAATATCAAATACATATTTTCAAATATCAGTTAATTATTTGATGATTTGATCTTAGTTTTTGATGTCTTAAGTGGCTGAATTTCTTGTAGAAAAGTGTCTCTATTTTATTTTTAGTTCACATTCAGATAGTTGGTATTATTAAAAGTTATTTTAAAAGTACGTATTATTATTGGTTCATTGAAGATAGTTGGTATTATTTAAAGTTAATTTCTCAATTTAAAAAATGACTTAATTATAGTGTAAATAATGTATGTAAATTTTTCCTCCACAAATATTCTTTGTGCTGGTAGAGTGTTCTGGCTCCACCTTTGATAGTGTAATATGGTCTGAACTGATCTGGTATGATGATGTTTATTCTATATACTAGTATAATTTGTAATCATCGGAGTGTATATGTAACTTATAATTTAATTAAGCATCGACTGGTGTGTTCTGGCTTGGTTTGATTTGGTTTCATTTGTTTTGGGATTGAACTCATTCCAACTAAAAAGATCCTTAGCTTAAGCATAACATTACGGAGTACTACGTATATTAGATAAGAAGAGTGAGGTTGAATTGACTCTCTCAACGTGCATAAGAATAGGAATTGAACCTAAAATGATGTTGAGATTATAATTTACTCCGTATAAAATTTTTCTTTTCCTACAATAGAAACAGTTGTATTTATTCTTACACTAATATTTACTTGCTCCAACTAGTAGAAGCCAAGGTCTAGTGACGTAATCATAATTTCACATACGTTGTAGTTTAATATGTACACCGTTAAATAATAAATTAAAGACTTAAATATGTTTTTAATCCCTTCAAATATGACACACCTTGTTTTAGATCAATAGATCCCTGCTAAATATTTTTTATATTTTTCATTCCTGTACTATAAACTATTTTATTTTTAGTCTATCAATATCTTCGAAACCACTCAACTGTGAAAAATATTATTGTCAGTTACATAAATTTATTAAAAACATTTGAATTTATCCTTTTATCAAAAATTTAGACTCATATGAGAGTTAAAATAATATAAACTAATTATTCACATTTTTAAAAATATATAAAAACTTCTAAAAATAAATGAAACATTTTTTAAAAATATGAAAAAGAATTAGATGAAACCTATTATTAGACAGTGTGATTCATTTTCAAACCAAGGTTGACAAAGAAAAACCATCATAAATTTCAGAGATGAAAAAAAAGAATAATTCTACATGGATGTAAAATAAAATGTACTATATTTGTGGTAATTATTTTCAAATTAAACTCTTTTGATCTACCATTAATTTCAAGCTTAAATGTATAGATCAGAGAAAGATTTTGGGTTGTAGCCGGTGAAGCTAGGAGGTTAGCAAAGAGCTGTGAAATAATGAGAAAGGGTCCTGACAGATATATTTATAATAGAAGAGTTGTCAAAATACAAAGTATTTCTAAATATATATTAGGTAAATTCCTAAATATATATTAGGCAGATTCCTAAATATATTAGGCTATTACACTCCCTCAAACTGTGTGGGAGATACAACTCGCAGATTGTCTTTTAAAAAATAAAGTTGCAAACTAAAAAAAAATCTTAGTAAATATATCCGCCAACGGAAGATTTGGAGGCACATATTTGACAATAAGATCTCCACGAGCAAGTAGGTTGTTTCTAGGACTTCCAAGAAACCAGATTAGGACCAAGAAAAACAGCAAATATTGTTCATAATTTGTAGACCCCTGAATAAACCTTGAGCAAGAGCAGCGAATGAAGTGGGCAACAGAGAGGATCCCAGTCGATGGCCAACTGGCCCAGCAGAAGACAATGGGATCATGCCAAGGTCGCAAGAGAGAGTGGGACATGCATAACACTCTGGAATAGCTCTGCGAACGGCCGAATCAGACTCGGCTAAAGAATCGACGTCTGCAGCAGCAAGCGGCGAACTCAACAGCGCGCTGGAAGCAAGCACTGTGGTCAGCGACGCGTAGAAGGTGGACTGTGCGGACGTAGGCAGCAGCAGACGGCGATCTCAACGGCACGCTGATAGCAAGGACTGTAGTCAGCGATGATATGCGCCATATCAGCCGCGCTTATCCTCAAAGGATCGGAGTTTACCATGGATGTGGCGGTAGTCGACCCCGAGGCGGCGACGGGTGTACTAGGGTTCATGGGAACTGAAAAAGAGAGGAATAAAATTGTATCTATAAACCTAAAGCTCTTGATACCATGTGAAATAATGATGGAAAGGGTACTCCAATAGGAGTCCTGACATATATATTTATGATAGAAGAGTTGCCAAAATAAAAAGTATTCCTAAATATATATTAGGTAGATTCCTAAATACTCCCTCCGTCCCAAAATTATCTTCATAGTTACTATTCACATGGTCAACTCAAATTACTCTTAATCTTTTACTTTATATATCAAATTTTTATCAAATTTAAAATTTCTTGATCAGGCTTTGCAGTGGTTTTAATGTAGTTTCTGAATATGTAAATTTTATTTACTAAAAATAATCCGAGTGTGAACAGGGGTCGAGTTGCTTTATCGTCAGTCAAGCATTGTAAACCGAACTATGAAGATAAATATGGGACGGAGGTAGTATATATTAGGCACATTCCTAAATATACTCGTATTAGGCTATTAAGAGCAACCAATTAAAGATCCTTACAAGTTACAATAGCTCAAAGTTCAAACGATTGACTACATTTTCTAGACCTCGTTTTGCAGCAACTTGTTGGGATGATAAGTTTCCGGTAATAGATACGGAGTATACGAAGTACGAATTATATACCAGTGTCTCATATTTTCCCGGTACAAAGTAATTAAGTATAGATAAAGATGTTTTGTTAATTTATTGGTCTGATTTTGTCTGGTCTGGTAATGTTCAGTCTCTTTGTATTTTTATAACTATCCAAGTTTATTCTTGAATTATAATTCGTTTGGACTGTATTTCAAACGAATTACAGTCCAACTAAAAACATCCTAACGGTGCTTATTGAGGGTGACAGTCAATTGCACATTGACCATTGACGTATCGTGTATTTTTCAAGCCGTATAGGTGCTGTTTGTGGAAAATCTTTATACAATATCCCCTCTGTCCCGCAAAAAAATTCCTGGTTTGACCTACACATATTAAGGAAATAAACTTACCAGGGGGTAAATTTTACTATTTTGACATTGTTTGAACACTGTTTGGCACTGTTTGACACTGTTTTGCACTATTTGACACTGTTTTGATGTAGATAACTTGTCATTTAAGGAAATGAGAACTTCTTTTTGGGATATCCAAATAAGGAAAGTGAGAACTTCTTTGCGGGACGGAGGGAGTATAAAGTAGCAAAGTTGCTACAACTATTGGATGGAAAATTCCCGCCCAAATTAAGGACATAATTAAGGACATAATGGAAAATTTATGTGAAATGTATAACTGAAATCTTACCCATCCATGAAAAGCATCGTATGAAAATGAAATTATGGTAAGGTTGGAGCATTTATTGGCCAATCTTAGGAAAGTATGGTAATTTACTACTAGAATTAATTCCACTTTTGATTCTGCGAGTTTTATGTCATTTCCACATTTAGTCCACGTCTTTCACTTTGTCCACTTTTGATACTTGGCTTATGTTTCTTGACCATTTGTTCTCCTTTTCCGGCGATTTTAACCACCGGAATAGTTGCCAGAAGGACCATATGTGGGCGAAAACACAATAGTTGTGTACCAAAAGTGGTCAAACTCAAAGACGTGGACCAATTGTGGAATTGGTGTGATATTCAAAGGACCAAAAGTGGAATTTATTCTTTACTACTACATGTAATACTCCGTATGCAGGGGTGGACCGTAGTATAGATTAGTGATGGCAACGGGGCGGATCGGGGACGGGTACACATAAAACCGGAACCGCCCCATTGGATAAATGTTTGCCCCAAAACCGCCCCATTACCCGTTCGGGTAATTTTTATTTGAACCGTACCTGCCCCAACGGGGAATCGGTTTATCCACGGGTAACCGTTTC